TGTCCATGAAGCCATCCAGATATACAAACATAGACACAACTTCAACCGAGAGGATGGTTTTAAATTGAGCAATCATTGGAAAGATGTCATCAACCAAGTCAAACTTTAGCTGCCTTATAATTGTACAGCCATTTCCATTTCTTCCAGTTGCTTGCGCTCGTTTTCGATCACCGCTCGCCATCGCCTCTCCGTCCCCCTAACCCCCTGCAGCATAACAAAAGGCGGTTTAACTTAGCCCCCCCCACGGCCCTTCCTGGCTCCTCTCCCCCCCCCCCCTTAACCTGTATATAATCTCGGGTATCTTAGAGCTCTCTTCACTTGATACAGCAATTTTGCTGTGACGGTTTCCACCTGAAGACGGAAGCTTGTGTTGCCTCCGAAACGTCGTGATTTAATTTAGTTGTTTTCATTGATTTTATTTTACCTACGTGACTTTACCGAAAAAAACAAAGAGTGAATCCTTGCAGTCACAAAAGCTTAAAATCTAGAATAGGTTGTTGAATGACCAAGCTAGCCTGTTATTCAAGAGTCAGGCTGCCCTTCCATGACCCTTCCCCCACCACCACTAGATTTCTGTCAAGGATGGTTAAATCCCGGCGGCATTGCTCTTTCATCGCCTCTATTCGAAGTGGGAAGGACTCTCCAGTGATTAAGACCAAGGACATCAGTGCGTGTTTTAAAGGGTTCTATGAAACCTTGTACACTTAGTAATCTCTGTCCGGAGAGGATATGAATTATTTCCTGGCCAAGATCACCTTCCCCAATTTGGGTTCAGACTAGAACATAGAGCTGGTCAGGCCCATTGCCCCTCATGAATTCCTCAATGCCTCTCATGAATTCCTCAGTGCCATGGCCGCGTCACCGACGGGATACCACTGGAGCTTTATCGAAAATTAGGGGGCCGCCCTTACATCTCAGTTAAGGGTAATGTTGGACACAGCCTTAAATTTTGGATTTCTTCCCAGGTCAATGAACGAAGCCAGGATTTTGGTTACATAAGCCAGGCTACCCCGGTGCACTGGGTAATTATAGGTCCATCTCGCTTTTGAACGCAGATTACTCAATCTTTGCAAAGATCCTTGCAATGAGACTAGACAAGGTTCTCCCAACGATCATTGGGGAAGCCCAGACAGGGTTTGTCAAAAACAGAGATGCCACAGACAATGTCAGGACTATGGTCAATGCGATGGCGATAGCCAGCAAGGACAACCTTGCCACTTACGCTGTCACCCTGGATGGGGAAAAGGCGTTTGATAGGGTCGAATGGGCCTTTTTGTTCCGGGTGATGGACAAATTCGGCGTTCTCCTCCCGTTTATTTACGTGTGCAGACTCCTGTATGCTGACCCTATGGTCTCGGTGGTTACAAACGGCTTGACATCTCCCAACTTTGTGCTCAGCAGAGGTACAAGTCAGAGTGGGTTGCCCTCTCTCACCTTCGCGTTGTACCTTGCCAGTGGAGCCATTTGCTGAGAGCATAAGGAGAAGCCAGCAGTTGTCGGGACTACGTTTTGGCACGGTAGAAAACAACATGTATCTTTATGCCGATGATGCCCTTATTTCATAAAAAAAACAGAAGTTTGAATCCCAGCTATTTTTGCCCTGGTGAGGGAGTATGGGGGAGATTCGGGATATAAAATAAAGTCAAAATTAATCCCCCTATCACCAGTATCTCCCAAACCCCCAGAGGGTCTGTTGCCCCTTAAGTTGTCTCCATCCCATATAAAATATCTCGACGTTATGGTCCCTTCCTCATTGACAACGCATTTCGGCAAAAATGTCCCCCCCCCCCCACCTCAGGAAATTGGGGCCTCATTATTGGCATGGGCAGACGTCCCCCTCTCCCTCTATAACAGGGCACACCTGATCAAGATGCTGATTCTCCCCAAACTGCTGTACACTTAAGTATAATCCTTTCCCATATCCCAAGGCACTTCTTCAAGGTACTCCACTCTAGAATTGGTTTATTTGGAATCGTAAACTCGCGTGCATTGACTACCCTTCTCCCAATCTACCGGTAAGGGAGAGTGGCTTAGCTCTCCTGGATTTACCGAAATACCATACGGTGATAAGCTTGCAGGTTTGGTCCTATGAAAGTTGGGATTGCTAAACGCTGGGAAGAGGAGTCTGTAAAACCGTGCTCCCTTATTGAGTTTGCCCTGGCCTCACCCAGAGATAGACCCCGAGAGATAAAACCGTTGTGGACGCTCTCCTCGATGCTGGGGACCTGCAGGGACAGGCATATCAGGTGCAGGCTAAGTTTAATATCCCCCACTCCCATTTCTTTAGATACTTGCAAATCAGAGACGCCATTGTGAAAGACCGTGGTTAGAACCTGAGCAAACAATTTCACCCAATCATAAATTGGCTAGAAATACCAAAGGCCAAATATATAATTTCACATGCCTATCGCCTGTGCCATAACCTTCTAGCCCACGCAGGGATTGAGCACTTAAGCCACAAGCTTAAAAGGAAGGAACGAGAGTTTGAGACCAGATGGTCGCCGTTCCTATGGATCCTGATGGACAGCGAAGGTGCCTAAACCACTCGGAAACTTTTAAATTATTTCCCCCTGCAGAAATGGACATTAATCTGGCGGGCCTCTCAATCTGGCCCAAGATAATGGCGACTGAGGCTTATCCAGTTTAAATGCATGCACGGAACCTAGATGACCAATGAGTGAAGAGCAAAATTCATGGAGGTCTCCCCAGATTGTCCCAAATGCTCCCCAGGTACGGTTCAGTTTTACCTTCACGCCTTTTGGCTATTCCCGTACGTAATACAACTCTACTGGGAGATCTTGAACTTCTTTAACAGCATTTGTGGCACTCGTCTCAGCCCTTCAGTGGAAACGACTCTGTGGGGCCTGACACCAGACACCCTGCCGAAACATCAAAATGCTCTACTTCAAAGATATAACATTGTGACCGGGAAGGTCATATTGTCCAATTGGAAAGATCATAACCCCCCCCCCCCTCTCGTGGAAACAGTGGTTGCCATAACTTTCTAGCCCAAGCAGGGATTGAGCACTTAAGCCACAAGCTTAAAGGGAAGGATCGAGAGTTTGAGACCAGATGATACCCATTCCTACGGAGCTTAAAATGAGGTGCGTGGGTGAGGACGTTGGAAGATGGGGACGGGTGTAAGAGGAGGGGGCTGCACCCCTCCGCCGTGACGGGCGGGAGCAGAGCATCGCTCAGTGGGAGGTTAGGGGCCATCCATTCAGTACGTACGCAAAAATCTGTCAAAACTTGACCCCTCCCCCCCCCCTTCCTGTACGCACGCGTACTTTTTACACCCCCCTCCCCACCTGCGTACGTACGCTTGACGCCCCCCCCCGCCCCCGCGAATTTACTACTATAATGAGCCAAGAATGTCTGTGTGTCCCGCACGTGACGTCACTCCACATGAGGCCCCCCCCTCATTAATAATCATGAGCTGAATAATTTTTCTATTTAATTTTTCAGATTTACCGCAATACACACCCGTACTTGGACGGGCAAACAAGCTAGTCCTACAGAACGGCCGATATTTAATCCACGCAGAAACGATGAAGGATGGAAAACATTAACGTGTTTAAGCAAACAGATCATCCACCGGCCGGCTGCATTAAAGAATGAAGTTGCGTACCTTTAAAAAGTTTGTCTCGTGTCCGCTAGTTTCAAACGCTGACTGAACCCAGTCGAACAGGTTACGTTTTATAGGAATTTCGTCAACACGCGCAATGTCATGCTGAAGCAGAGCAGCAGCATTAGCTGCAGTCTTCTAGGCCGCCGTCTCGGTGTCCACAGCGTCGCTGACGTCATCATCATCCAACTTTTGGTTGCTCTCACTGTCCGAAGACTCCGTCGTGTGAATGCGCTGGTGTCGTTTTACACTGGCCTGCAGCAGCTATAATCTTGAGCCAGCGGCAGTCTGCAGTGAGGCCAGATTGCAGGATGTGTGATCCATGGGGCAAGGCCGTCAGACGATGTCAGACTCACTGCTGAGCTGCGTGAGAGCTCGCAGTCAGGGGCACGGCGAGACACAAGTGACACCTCTTCCACAGTCCCACTTCTCCCGGTAGTACTTGTTGTCTAACAGATAAAGAAACTGAACTGTGGCTCATTTGAAGGCCAATGTAGACAAATTATTATCGAGGCTTCACCCCCCCCCCCTATTTCCTATGCGTACGTACATTGTCACATTGTCAGTAGACCCCCCATACGCAAGCGTACACATTTTGGTTGACCCCCCCTCCCCCCTCCATGCGTACGTACTAAATGGATGGCCCCTTAGTGCTTCAACGCATATGCCGCGTGTGTATTATTTTTCTAGGGTTTTTCTTTGTACTCCTTCCCCCACCTCTCTCCCCCTTTTCTCCCCCCCCCACCCTTCCAACCTCCCCCGGCTCCTTTTATTTTCCCAGTATGTTGGTTTTACCCCTTTCCCTTACCCCTTTCCCCTCCCCAAATCAATCTTCGTGCCCCTTCACGTGGTGCCCACTTGCGTGGGGGGTTAGCGAGTCCCCCTTGGTAAGGTCCTGCCGCACCGAAATCGGTTTGCGGAGTTTGTGTCCCCCTACCGCTTGCGACCGGGGCTCGAGTTGTGTTACAATAAAAACAGTTTTTAAAATCCGTACATCACCTTTGAAGCCGTCCATAAATGACGTCACGCACCTGGCGGGGGGTGGGGGGGTCAGACATTTGTGACGATGTGTGACGAGGGGGGGGGGGTTTGAGAAATGTGACGTCACATCAAAATGCGCAACTTTAAATAAATGTAGACAACACGTTCTACTTAATTAAATAGACTTTTTAATAAATGTTTTCTCCTACAACATCAGAGTGCAGCGCCACATTAAATACGCACTACAATGACAATAGTTTAAAGCGATTTGAAGCGTGTTTTATTTATTTTGGGGGGGGGGGCAGAGCTTTGTGACGTCATATTTGAGGGGAGGTCTGACTTTTTGTGACGTCGTGTGACGAGGGGGGGGGGTAAAAAATCGTCCAAAATCGCGTGACGTCATTTATGGACGGCCCCTTTCCTGTTAATGCAAGACTCCTACAGTCGTAACGTACCCTGCTCATTCTGGTATGGGGATGCATGTGCGATTTAAGTTGCACCTTCGCCAAGTCTAAATGTGTCGATTTTACGCAAGGCGGCAGTACTACTAGATGCGGCGCACAGGAGGACAGAGAAGAACAAGCTTCTACTACAAAAGAACAATGTCCCCCGTATAGCCTTTAAAGACCCTTGGGGCAAGTGCTCGTCACAAACACCTATGAAGGCCGACACGGCACACGAGGAGTTAGCCAGCACCATGCCCGGCCGCCCTTGTCTCCTGCGAGGCAATGTTTACCACATACCGCACCAGGTACTCATTTGATGCTAAGTCGACCTTGGTGAGGCCCAGGACCGGTTCAGATAATCGTCACTGGTGTTGGCCATGAGCGGGAATCTAACCTCGATCACCGGGTTTGTGGCGCTGCGCTACTGTTCCACGCGCTACATACACAGACCACAGACACATACACAGCATATGTACATACTTGCAGCAATGCTTTGTTATACACTGTCAATACACTTGCTCACTCGCACCGAATACCAACACACAACACATACACGCAGAATTTACATAAATATACCCTTTCATTAATACTCGCATAAACATGCTCTATTATGCACGCGCTCACACAACACAAACACACATCATGTGGTATATACATTTTTAACAAAGTATATATCTTTGAAGACTCTGTACTCTACATGTACACACACCGTAAACGCATCATATACAGAATATACTGTTCCATCATTACTCTTGTATACACGCTGTGTTAAACACATCTCACACATGACCTGCCAGCACATGGCACATCACGTGTACACCCTGGAGTTAATGGTATCTTATAGACAGGCTCACTCATACATAGAACCAAGACACGCAGCACACAAACAGTTTGATGTATACTCTTGCTTTAATAGAGTACACACTGGTCATTGCATACCAACACACACAAAAGACAATAACAAACGTCACGTGTATGTCTCAACATTACTAGGCTGTTCTTTTACACACGCCGTGTTGCACATCTCCACTCGCACAACACTGCCTACACACACACGACATACACACACCATACGTAAACACTTCCATTAAAACTCTACTAATCACGCTGACCATTTCACAACACACACACACAATATACACACAACCTTGCATTAACACACTGTGTACCAGCGCACAACACATACCATTTACACACGCAGCATATAAACTGTATATCCTTACTTGAATACATGTTGACCAGTCCATATAGTGTACTACTTATACACAGCGTATAATTTACATTTTCATTAATACCCTTATCAAACACGCTGACCACTACATGCACACATAGCTCACGCTCACAGTATATGTACTTGAATGAGTACTCTATTAAACACGCTGACAACCGCATACCAGCACGCAACACACGCAACAACACGCACACGTGTCCTCTGTGCGCGTGTCACCATCGCGAACATCACACGCAGCGCGCTCGGGGGTTCAACCTCGGCAGCACCGCCAAGCGAACGCCTCTCGTGCGCGGTCTTAACAACACAGAGCGTGCACTTGTGTTCATTGCAAGATTTACAACGCACCGAGCGTTGTCTCTCTCTCTCTCTCATCACTTCAAAGCATCGCATCCGAAGAGCGGCCATGTGCGTGCCGGGATGGTAGAAATCTGCAGAAGCTCCCGCTGGACGTGGGCGCGTTAATGCCCCGATCGGTCCAGGACGCCGTGCCTTCCCTCTCTTCCCTCGTCTGTCCGGCCGAGCCATGCGGTGTTTCCCCTTCTTTCTGCTGCTGCCAGAGTCGCTCAAGCGGAGCCGCAAGCCTCCGAGAGAAGAGGGGACCTCCACCAAGGAGCTGCCGCCTGTGCCGAGCCGGCCCTGGGACCAGGACGGTCCCTGGGACCAGGACGGGTCCTGGGAGCGAACCATGGCGGCGGACGTCGGAGGCAACGGCAAGAAGGCGCAGCAGAGTGCCGGTGGGAAGGCGGAGATAGCTGGAGTCGAACCGGGACAGGCCAACTGGCAAGCTCAGCGGGCCACAGTGCGAGAACGGTGGGATCTCGGCGCATTCTCACACATGCTGTCCGGCAGTTCTAATATATTCACATGTACATGTCAAGCATAAGGTTAATGAAAATGTTTTAAACCCAGGGCTCCCTTGGAAAAAAAAAATAACTGGTTTAAATGGACGTTTAACCGATCATTAAGGTACTAGTTTATATGCACATACAGATACACTATCTTCACTGTGTGACTGCATGTATGTTGTGCGCAGCATGGTGTAGTGCAGCTTTATTTTTGTTCCACAGCTGTGATTCCACGGTGTGTTTTTAAAATAGAAACCCACATGGTGTCATTAATAATCCACGTGAATATATTGCGGCACATTCGGTCCATGATCGTGGTCAGCACTTTTTTTGTTTTCATGTTTGGGAACCGAGTTACCCATTGCAGTTCAAACGGTCAAGCAGAATTACGGCTTGTGGCATACACTAAGTATGTATGAATGTTGAACTTCTTTCGCTGAATATATTACACACTTCAGGTAAAGCTAGTTTTATAGCGACTTGCATAATTATTGGTGGTAAGCAAATCGATCTTGATTTGCAGCTTTCGTGACTGCAGGAATCCATACTCTTTGGTTCTTTCGGTAAAGTCACGTAGATAGAAAATCAATCTATTGATATACGTGATCAATCTGTTGATTTTCTATCTACGTGACTTTACCGAAAGAACCAAAGAGTAAGCAAATCACATGAAGACATTGGTAAACAGTGCCTTTATTTGATTTCCCTAAAGTTACAGAAAGTGTTGGTATTGTGGTGGATTGCCTTATTTTTTGTTGTTCTGATAAATACCCTCCGTAAGATCGAAAACATTCTTTCACATATCTAACCTTCACTCATTTACTGTACGTATATGTTTAGTTTGAAGTGAAGTGCTCTAGGCCTTTGAAGTTGTATTTTCGTTTGTTTATCATCATCAGCCATGATATGTCGAAACCTTATGAAGGACTCGCCAAGACATCGTGGTCTCATGATGCAACAATTAAAATTAGCTCCTGCACACAAGATGTTTTCATTGCTCTATCTCTAATGTCGACATACTTTAATTCATGATACGTCTGGACCACGAGGCATCATCCCTTCTAGTGACGTGTCTTTCCCAAGCCCGATTTTTTTTATGAGTCAATATGCTGGCGAGATGTTAAATACCTCTCCTGGTATACAGGAGGTCATGGTTTCGATCCCAACACTGACCTCCTGTGGTCATGCGGATTTATTTCCAGGTCCTCCGTTTTTTCCCTCCACATTGAGAAAAGTGGTTAGAGTATTTGGCTGCTTTAAATTCCCACGTGACAAGCCACTTCGTTGGGCTGTCATTTGTGGGCAGGTCGCTTCTGAAAAAGGGCTATATAGCTCAGTGGGCCTTACCTGGTAAAATAAAAAAACAAATATTTAGTTTAGTTTTGATGTCTCCAACTTGTGAATTTGATCGCATCCATGTGTTCCTCTTCTAGTGATTCAGTGTAATTCCAAAAATGTACTTCATGTTTACTTGCACGCATGTAAGCATGTTATTGCATTACCATTGTTACTTTTGTTAGAATTACAATTGCCAGCATGGGTCTAACCATTCGTACTCTCCACAATTGGATGAATCGCCACGTTTGGGGAGGTCCCATCATGCATTCACGATTTTTAAGTCTATTTTTACCCTTGTTAGAATCGATGCTGTCCGAAGTTTACAACGTTACATGAACCAATCACAATAACACAAATAATTTAAAGTAATCCATCCCTACATGCACAATTCGATGAATTCATTGCAAGTGGGAATCTGTTTCATTTGGTGAATCTTGTATCCAAAACAATCGTGAAATAAGCACATTTATGGGGATTGTTAGTCCATAATAATGCATTTCTATGTCCAGAGCTTTTCATGAAAATGTAGGAGTGCATTGCTAATGCAACATAACACAATTGTCATGGTACAACGACACGCACAGAGATGGAGATAATCTCAATGGATTACTATTTGGCCATGAGCACATTTTTTACGCTCATAACAAATATGTGCTCGACAAACATACGTGGCAAAGAAAATGTACGTCTTCAGATCCCATCAGAGCCTTTGTAGTAAAACAACATCAAGAAACAAACAAAACAATTGCTTCTTGCTCATTTAAAACCCATTTTGACATTCAGCAGGGTTGGTGTGACCTCGGCTGAGATGCCACTGATAAATCAAATACCCACTCACACCTATCATAAAATTGGTGGTACACTTGCTTGGCTGCAAACAGCAACAGGTGCTTGGGGCTTGCCTGAGAGACCTAAAGTGCACGCACAGAGAGGACCAGTTGAGAATTGAGCCCATTACTGTGGCTCTTAAGGGTCAGGGAAAACCTGTCGCTCATTGTTTGGCATCATGTGGGAAAGAATGAGAGGTATGATTGAGCCGATAATGCCTTGACCAAGCTTTGCACCCTTTTGTAGGACGGTTACGGAATATGTGTGTGTAGTGTATAGAATATGTATAGCACGTGTTAAATATTGCATTTTGTTCATGCTAGTTTGTAATCTAATGCAGGCATGCTGTATATATTTCACCGTTAGCCCGTTAATAATGTGCTTTGAGAATATTATCAAATAAGTGCACCATATGCCTATTTGTATGGAAATTAAATATCCTATTACGTGCATTGCTTGCACTCGCATACTCTTGTGATGGTGATGTGACGCAATTAGTAACTGTAACTGAAATGACTGAATTTCTGCATTTAGCATTTTGCACCATGCATGATTGTTGGGACTCAAATAATCTGGTAATCATATGAAAATGCTGTGTCTGTTAAAACTGAGAAGGCAGTGTGTAGTAGTGGTGCTAAGTGTACTTGTAGCAGTTTTACTTTCAGTGATAATTTCGAGTCATCCTCACAGCTGAGGGTTAATGCCAGTGAACTGATGCTTCCCACCATTTGCAGACATCAGCATCATGGCATGTAGAGTCCAATTACTCACTGCCCACCAACTCGTCCATTCCCTTCCCTTGTAAAATAGTTATTCGTTCGATCTCTATGTTGAACGGTCAGTGAAAGTTTTGACAGAATGGAAAACAATTTTGTGACTTAAACATGTAATACATATTATGGTTAACATCTAAACATTCTGTCCTTATCTAATTTGCAATTTTTATGCATTTTTTTTAAATATATAGTATCTGATCGTCGATTATAATTTAAAATATAAATCAATTGTAAATGGTTGAATCCGCATGCCGTAGGGTCAAGACACAAATGTTCTGTAATGCTTACAAAGCATAACCATAGTGCTTTCCTGATAGCATTTGTGCTATAAGAATGGTAAAAAAATACTGTAGGCACTTAGTTGTTGAAAATATTATTAACAATACGTGATAAAAGTGGCTCACCGGAGTTGTCAGGAGCTGGTTTCCAGCCTCCATAGTGATGGAGAACTTCTAAGCGCAACTCGGCATGTCTGGGATCCAGTTCAGGGCCTTAACCCCGTCACCTGGAGGCTCCTCCGTCACCACCTTCCATTCATACATCACCATAGTCAGTGGTCGACAAACCTGCGCCTCCAGAGCCCAATGCGACTCCTGAAGGACTGCTCTAATTAGCACAGTTGACTACGCACGGTGCGAAAAAAGTTCAACATTCATAAATACGTTTCTTTATTAAGGACTGCCTCGTATTCACATGCATTGTGGCTCTTGAAATTTTGAGGGTTTTTTTACGAAATTTGAAAATTATGGCCGACCCATGACCATGGTCAATCAGAAAGAGGTTAGATCAACAGGAAGGGATGTGGTGCACTATATATGTATGGTACAACATAGAATATCTGACTGTCAGATATTTACCTTAACCAATTCACCACCTTTTTTTATTTAAATTTTTCGTGACTGCAGGGATTCATATTCTTGGTTCTTTCGGTAAAGTCACGTAGAAGGGAAACAATATATTTTTATTCTATTTTATTGTTTCCCTTCTACGTTACTTTACCGAAAGAACCAAGAATATGAATCACCGCCCTTTGCAGTATTTTTTCATGATGTAACTAACTTTCTATAAATGTTCGTATAAACTGACCTTTTCACATATCTGCCTATTCTCTGTCCCCAGCAAGTCGAATATGCAACATTGCATATCTCTGAAACTATTTTAATTTTTTCCAGGTGAAGCCCACTTAGCTATTTAGATATTTTTCAGAAGCGACTGTGGCCACAAATGAGAGGTCAACGAAGTGGCTTATCACATGGAAATTTAATGCAGCCAAATACTCTGAATGCATGTTGATTCTAAATGTGGAGAGAAAAACCATGGGACCCGGAGAAAAATCCACACAACCACGGGTAGAACATGCAGACTCCAAATATACAGCAGCAGCAGGCGTCAGGGTCAGGATCGAACCCACGACCTCCTGTATAGCGGGCGAGGTAGTTAACATCTCCTAGCCACCGTGGCGCTCCATCCCTCCATCCGAGGGATGGAGCAGCGGCACAGTGGTTCGCATACTTCTCTGTGAACCCAGAGAGTTTGATACCCAGCAACGACGAGCACTAACCAGCATGGTGAAATATTCTCAAACGACCCCTGTGAACTGACACGGTGTGGTGAGGTTTCCAATCAGCTGTGGGTTGACAAAGGGTTGTAAAGTAGAAAAACATTGTCATTGATTATGATTTTGTTTGTATTTGTATTTGATGTTGAATTGGCTGCAGGAACGCTATGATGTTTAACAACGCGCTCATCTCAGATGTCACCTTTGTGGTGGGGCCTCAGGGAGCCAGCCAGCGCATCCCCGGACACAAGGTGAGCTGACCCGTTAAGCCCCTGAGATGTGCATGGACATTGCAGCGAGCAATCCGCGTGCGGCTGAAAGTGCCAGTGAAAAGGGCAGGTGTTGCTTTGTGGATTTACGATGTACAGGTAGTCCCCCCGAGTTACGATGGTCCGACTTACGATATTTCGATCTTACGATGGCGATAGCGATGCGACAAAATTGCCATCAACAACCTAACATCGTTCAAGTATGCAGACGACGGACAGAATCTTGGTGAGTACAGTACAATAAGATACGTTACGATACGTTCAATGCATGTATGATACATAGCTTTAGCGATTTCATTTTAGGGTTACCACGATACGATACATACATTCAATGCATGTTAAAAGTTTTTTTTATAGCAGATCGGATTGTTTCCTGAAAAAAACTTTCTATTAAATTGCAGTTCATATAGGTAGGCGAAGAATTTACCTTGTTTATTTACTTTAAATTTTACCGTGCAATACAGTATTGTAATTAATAAATACATACAGTATATAGTGTATACAGTACGGTACTGTAAATTGCTCTGTTTTGCTAAATTATCACCATTCTTTAAGACTCCTGGGTAGGCTAGGCCATCTTCGACCTACGATATTTTCTACTTACGATGGGGTCGTCGTAACGCATCTCTATCGTAAGTAGAGGACTACCACTCAGAAAGGTCACCCGATTGTCAGTAGCCCGCTGCTTTCTAATAGTCCTCTGAGTTTCTCCTAAACAGCTGGTTGAACATTGTGAAAATGATGGCTCCGTATCTTTGAGGAGAGTGCTAAAAGATACAAGTATTGAAATTGTTGGGAGATGTGTAGAGGCTTGGAAATATAATGTAGTTTCTTGTATAATTGATCATTGTTTTCGTTGGGGTATCTAGCAGTGGTCAATGGATAACCCTGTATCTATCTACCGAAAGACCCAAAGAATGTGAACCCTGTATAATCGCTACACTACAAGTCCTCGCTTAACGCATTTTTAATAAAATGCGGTTCTTCTATTAGGGGGGGAATACTTTACGCACAATGCGTAACGTGCCCATCATAACGCGGTTTCTGAGCAGTGGTTGACGAACTACTTCCGTGAGCTGCGTGGCTGAGCGGTGTGGGAATTCTGGGTACAAGCGCAGAAGGATACAGTACGCGGCGGCGTACCTTCATCTCAGTCCATTATCCCGCCATGGGATGGCTGCAGACTTATTTTATGGTGCAAATCTAATTCAAATTTTCATTGTATTTATTTATGCCCTGTAATTTATACACAGTAAATCCTCGATTAACACAGCACTTTTCAGGAATGCATATACCATTTTAAACGATAAATTACCGTACTAATCTCAGCCCTTTGTCAATCCACTGCTGGATGAAGGCTGTGGACACAGTGGTTATTTGACGATACTGCGCCACGCTGGTCAGTGCAGGTTGGTGAAGGGATGGGCACCCTAGACTGGTTCAGATATCACTAGCCACTGATATCAGCGCTGGCTGGAAAATCAAATTAAAGTAGCCGAGCTTATAGGGCAGTGTGCTCATCACTATGCCACTGGTCCACCCCACTAATCAAACATTAATATGAATGCCAGTTGTCTTAATCCTTAAATGCAAAAAAATCGTCAATAATAACACTGCCTTAACTGAAAAATATATAATCGAGGACATTTCGAGCAATGGCCTGTCTTCATAGCACATTCCAGAGAGGCCAGAGAGATATAATTTGAAAGGCTTGTAGACTGCACTTAACACCATGGGGCCTGGTGAGAATTACACTAAAACATGTTTTCTCATTACCAGTTTTTAAACTGGCATATGGCTAGTTCTGGCCAAAATCGCCCAATGATGCTGGATGTAATTACCAGCGGAACTTCGCACTCATGTTGTAAAGGTTGTGGCTTTACTCTCCAACACACCGGTGGGCTGATGTGTAGTAACTATTCATAATAAAGGTTTTTGGGTTAGATCGCGTTACTTATAAATGTGTCGTAACCCTCTACCACCCGACACGGCCAAACAGTAAAAAAATGTGTCACGTTTACAAAGGACAAATAGTTCGCTACTTTAGCCCACCGGTGTGTTGAAGAGTGAATCAACATCATTTAAAATTTGAGTACGACGTTTCGCTGGTAATTACATCCAGCATCATCGGGCAATTCGCCAGAATGGTAAAGCCCTCACTTGTTCCCGGTCTTAAATAGAGCAGCAGGGTGACGTCATCATTTAACTCATTCAGGTCCAGTGATTTGAGGCGGAGGGGGGGGGTATTGTAATTATATAATCGATTGATAATCAGCCAATGGTTATGATTAGTAATGAGTTGTAGATTAGTTGTAATGTGTGTTATTGTGATTATATGCTACGTTAGTAATCCGTTATTTAGTATGTGTTTCCCCTATAAGGAATTGTAGTATGTATTATTTAATAATACGCTTCCAAGCCGCACTAAGCCTGTAGCTGTCAGAGCGATTAAAGTTATTTCTATTTCTCTCAATTTCAATGGATTCTCTAATTAGTTTTTGCCAGTAATAATTAGTTTTACACAACACTTCAACGTTGTCAAAATCAATTGAGTGTCCTTGTTGACAAGCATGTTCTGCCACTGCCGACAGTTGTGTTGAGATAAGTGTAGTAACTAATTGGCAAGTTTTGTTTACATGACGAACCTTACTAATTGGCTGTCGGGTGGTGGCGGGTTAATGGCACATTTATACCTATTAGTAGCGGTTAAGTGCCAGAAAACAACCCTTCAGCTATATAAAAAAAGCGAAATTAACTGATACATATTAAAAGTCAATTTGTTAAATGATGCTGACACAATTCATTTTAGGAAGGTTCTTGTTAAGACAATGTGTAATCTCCCCTGGCAGTGCATTTCTGACAATGCAGCATCACCAAATAATTTATTTTAAATTCACCTCGGTTTTATGTGTAACACAAAAAGTGCAGTATATAAATATTACAAGGCCATGGTGTCCATCTTTACTCATTGTAAACGGTTGCACACGTGCTCCTTGTTTTCCTGAGTGTTGTGATACATTCTTGGAAAACACAAAGAAATAGGTGAGAAGAATCAAGTCACATTGTGCCATTTTCCACACTTTACCCCTCTGCTTTGTGCTGGCTGCCAACAATGCAAAAGTGCCTTGCTGCTATTCACACATTCGTATAGACTTTGATGACTGTTCGCTGATGAAGTAGATTGACGAACCATTACAGCCTTTGCCTGAACGAATAACGTGAAGTTTATCGTGCAAAAAAAAAAAACGGCTTTCTCATTGAGCTTTCAGGAGATAAAAATTATATCGTGAACTTTTGTATTTGTATTTTTGTAAAAAGAAAGTCCAAACAAACTTACGAGCATAATTTCCTTAGTTTAACACGTAGGCTTTCGCGACCAATATCATCCATAAGAGGGTTTTTTTTTAGTTATATCGCGTAAATATATAAGCCACAACATTTACAATCTAGATTCTAATGTTGTGGTTTGGCTCTCCACCACACCGGTGTGCTGTCCTAGTAACGAATTGGCATGTTTACGTGACAACCCTTACTAGTTGGCTGTGTCGGGTGGTGGCGGGTTTAACGACACATTTATATATTTACACGACATAACCCCAAAAAATACCTCTTATGCATCATTTCATTTTTGTAGTTCAAGCAATACGTTCCCACCGCTCGCAGACTGTTCGACTGCAGTATAGATTTGCAACAAGGCTGGTTGTTAAACTGTTGTCAATGCTTGGTGCATAATATACTCACGAAAGTATAATTTAGTCTTGACTGAAAATGACCGAACAAATTCCATGCCATGTTGCAGAATCATCATTTGCAGTGGTGTGGAGAATATAAGTGGCAAATAGATGAGCAATATAGCCTTTTTAACTGTCTCTCCACGTAGCAAATAAAAGTAGTTTTTACACAGCCCATCAGTCCCACAGCCTTCAAGCAAGCCTGAATGCTGATTATATACACCTTGTCAAAACTGGTCCAGAGTATTCATGCACTGAATAAATGCCCCTGGAATGATGTGCCTCCAGAAGGACGTGTGGCTAATGGGTTGTGCAGAAAATATTCTTACTTTTTTACGTGGAGAGACAGATGTGACTACCTGAAGGAGACATATCGTCTGCTGATATATTTTGCACCGTGGCAGAGCGTTGAGCCAGCACCGTTGAGACCCCTTTGTTAGAATCCACGTCTGATTAAACTGGGTTCTAACTTGTAGTAAGTTGATGGTCTTGGCCTAGTTGCCAATGACTGCACAAATAAGACCATGATGTGGAATTATACCGTTTGTTTTTAATAATTTTTACTTAATCCTGTTTTTATTAAGTCCACAAATATCACTTCTATAGCAGGGCATGTATGTGCATAACCTGGAGTAGATGGGAGGCAAATTGAAGGGACCTCATAATTCGTGTTGTGCTATTATCTTCCAGAGGTTGTCTGTTATGCGGTAGTGTGCTTAATTCTGCAAGAGTTCTGAATAGAAGTGTCTTAATTTCATGTAATGACGATGATGGCACACTTGGATTATAATTGGAGTAAAAAAAAGGAAAATGTAATGATTAATATGAGTCAATCCATGGACAAAGAATGCATTGTTCTTTAATGTTATTTGATAAACTTATATAAGAAATGTACGCTTTCATTTGGATCACCATGTCGTGCACTCAATGCCAGTTAAGGTGTTTTTTTTAATCTTTTTATCTCATGCCAGATAAGTTGCCTATATTAAGTCACTTTGTGACATGTTCTCTCTTATGGTTAGGTTCAGGTATTTCCACTGCTTTCAGCCTGCTTGACTGGATTGTTTGGTTGACCTTTGCTTTTAATCCTGCAAACTTGTTGCGTGATGATACGATGTTGTGACATTGATATTAACTTGTGCGGCATTTAATTCATGCTCTGGCAGTACTTGATCATTATGAATAGCTACAGTGGCAGACTCGAAAAATCTTTCCATGCTCAAAAGTGTAACCAAACTGCACAACTGGTTTGCCGAGTGGACTTTTTAAAATTCAAGTTTCCACAACTGGTCAAACTCGTATGAAACAAGAATTTTACTTTGCTTGCCCTTTTCCCACCATAGCCAGGGGCTTCTTTTGCCTGGCTTTGACACGACTTCTTTCTTACATTTGGCCAACTCGCAGCGCTTGGCACTCCTCATTGAAGCGTCTCCACACCCCCATATTGTTCCTGCTGTGCCGTAGCAAAGAGGCGTGTTTGACTGCTGCACGTCAAAATCTGACACGTTCAACTCTGCTTTTTGCAGTACCTGCTGGGGGTGAGCAGCTCGGTGTTCTATGCCATGTTCTATGGAGAGCTTGCCGAAGAGAAGTCTGAAATTGTAATTCCTGATGCAGAGCCACCTGCCTTCCTCGCCATGTTGAAGTAAGCCTTTTCAATTTTTTTTTAAAAGCCCCTATATCCTCCCCTCGTGGCTCAGTGTCACTCACGAAATAGCTCAGAGCTGTGAAGTGGTTATGTTGCGAGCACCTTATTGTGATGGGTTACTCAAATCGGACAGGCGGCGATATCTACACGGCAGTGCGTGTGATGGACACGTGCAAGGTATTGGATAACATGGCGAGATGTTTAAGAGATGCTGTAGTCGATAATCAAAAGCCTCGGTAGTTAAAAATCAAGACAAACGTTCAACGCCGTGAACCAATACCTGAGTGTATTAATATTAGTCCATGCGCTGCATTTAAATGACTGTTAAACACAGCACGCCCGACAAAGGTGCATTACGTCCGAGGTGCATGCTGTCATCTTGGCCATAAACAGATCGCCCTGGGAGCTTTGCATGTATTGTTTTTGACCGAGAGATACTCAGTAAATCTCTGAGAGCACTTTTCAGCAGCACTGAAGTTAATGAAAAAATAAACTTGACCCCCGAGTGTTAAGACAAATTACTTTTCACCACCATATGCAGTTTGTTGGCTGCATTTCATGCAAGATGTTCAGTAGCAATTAAATGTGGATTGAGGGCTTGATGCAAAACATTTTTGAGGTTTCACATCAGTCCTCACCAGGTATAATTGGCAGAGACCACTTTCTTGCTGACACCTGGAGCTAAACCTTTCAGTCGTGGCTTTGCATGGCCAGGTCCATAACTGTTTGCAAACGGCGTTTTCTATCTGTCTATAATAAATAAATATTTCTTGAGAGTTAGCCAGCCAAAATCTCTGCGTGAAATTGCATGATCATCGAGTCCATAATTACACATCTGCAGTCAACTGTGTGTGTGTGTATATACACATTTTAATTGAAATACCCTTCATATGGATGGCTTCAGCCATTGAATGGCACTTCAAACAAGGTACTGAATGCTCAATGCCATGAACCATTATTATTCTGACTGTTCTGGAGATTAGCCAAGCATTTTACTGTGCTGTTGGTAATTGCTATGCAGAAGACTGCTGTAGCTTTTGACTTGTGACAAATGTATCCCAACTGCTGACAAATAGCCTCTAAACTTTTAGCTGTATGGGCCACCAGGCTGCCAACCCAACAAGCCAGGCGCATGTGCCATTTGGGTTAAAATTTCGCGTTTAAATCCGGTTTGTCCCCAGGAGCGGTGTGTATGGGCTACGTGACAGACTTTGCCTTCGGTCGCAGCCATGTGACGACGCCGTTTAATTCCAAGGCATTTGGCGCGGCAGCGAAACCTCCGGTGATGACCAATGGCACTGGAATGTACTTGCATTTACGTTGCGCAATGCATGCAAGTAAATGTTTATTTGCTTTATGTAATTAGTGCCACAGGCATCTCGCTTTTTAAGCCCTCATTGCTTTTTGTTCACTCTGTCAAAAGTGGCCTCGGTTGTATAGTTTTGATATGCCCACGTGAAATGCATAAATACACCTTTGCAAATACTGGAATATGTTCTCGAACGTAGAATCGGCACACGTTTGTACAAACTCGCTGAATAAGTAGAAGAATGGCCATCCACTCAAAGTGACGCAGACGCTAAAGACATTCTGCAATTGTTTTTTTGTATGCTTTTTTCCCCTCTATGGAGAAAATAAATAAAACGGTGTTACCTCTGCCTCGGCATGCACTGCAAGTTTGGTTGCAGTCCAATGTAAAATGTCAAAGTGGGTACGTGGGATAAACCCTACATGTACTTGTTCATGAATGGGAGTATCTATGCTCTGTTGTCATCCGTGTGGCAAGTATTGCTTTGTGGCAGTGTTGACCTCTGGAAAGGTTATTTCACTTCAGCAGGCATTCAGGGAGAGGTAACAGTACGTGGCTCACGAAAAGTTAACACTATGCTTCTTGTATTCATGTTATTAAGATGAGGTGATGTAATTGTACCATCTGTAAGTTTTGTCTAACCCTTGCAATTTATTTTGACTCGACGTGATGAAGATGATATGAGGTGGTGCACTGTCGCCACTGGGCCATTTGGCACAGATTCTGATTAATTTCCTGTAGCAACCCGATAAACTGTACTGTTGGGTGGTCATTAAAGTACCTCTGACGTCATTCACACGAGTAAACCATCTTCAATCCATTTCTTTAGGATCTGGATGTGCACAAAAAAAATCCTTGTAAATAATGCCTAAAACTGACTGCCATCTGATTTAATTAAAGTGGTAATATGATTCAAATGTTCAGTTCCTCACGTTTGTGGTTTGAGTGGTGCTCACCGCCATGGTCAGATCTGAGTCACTGATGTAAAGTCCACATTCCTATGGCGGGGGCCATTCTCTCCACAGGATGACCACTATTACCTTACCAGAAAGTGGGTTGTCTTGTTTGATTACCCACAAAGGAACAGTGGTGCCAGTGTAACCACCGACCAGTAATTAACCCTCCTATTGAGACTCGACTACTCTGCCACAGTGCCACCCAGCTCAACATGGAAAACCTTTATCTTACCGAGTGTCGTACAGTACTTTCAAATGCTTCTGCTGGGCCACGTGAGTTGATAATTAAGTGATATCACACTTGGATCGTATGCATTGACTTGGCACCGTACACACGCAACCGTGCTAATTGACTGTGTGCTCAGAACTACCTTAAAAGACAACAGGTGACTGAGTGCTCAAATTTCAAACACAGTTTTACCAGATCAAAAGTATTCCCCTATAATATTCCCTAATTCGTGCAGCCAAGATATTGCAGGCCGTTTCCCAGTGGGGGGGCCCATGTGGTCATGGGCCGTATTAAAATTTAATTTGTATTGGCTGCATCAAGCACACAGACCGCATCTAGCCCACAGACCTTATATCCCCCACCCCTGGAATAGAATCTATGCATTAAAGGTGCAGCTCTGCAATTCCCTGCTCATGCCACTGCTGGCAGAAGGGCTTCTGTTCGAGAGAGCACGGGAGAGCTCCTCTAGAGGGCTCTTGGGCTACTCTTCCATGTTAGCCGTACATCTTGGAAGAGATGGAAGTACCCACACTATACCCCACCAAATGTAATTGGCTGATAGACTAATTGCATTGACCTCAATTATACTGCTAGGTGGACAGAGACGGTGGAAGGGATATAAAATAAACCTGCCCCATTGTTTCAACTGCCGTGCTGGGATATCGAATTGAACTGACGACCTCTAAATTAACAGGTCTGGTGCGCTCACAATTGCATCATAGCAGTGTCCCAGGATCATGCAGCTATATAAAACTAAAAACGAAACTTTTAATTTTATCAAGTAAGGCCCACTGAGCTACACATCTCTTTTTCAGAAGCGACCTGGCTACAAACGATAGCTCAACGAAGTGGCTTATCACGTGCAATTTTATCACAGCCAAGTAGTCTCAACGCATGTTTCTAAATGCGGTAACAAAAACACGAGGACCCGGATAAATATCCCCATAACCACGGCGAGAACATGCAAACTTCCAAATATATATATATATACATAGGTGTCAGGGTCGGGATCGAACCCACGAACCTCCTCCTGTATACTGGGCAAGGTACTTAACATCTCGCCGCCGTGGCGCTGTTTGACATCTGAACGCTTGCACTGGCAGGTACATCTATTGCGACGAGATGGATCTGGACGCCGACTCGGTGCTGGCCACGCTGTACGTCGCCAAGAAGTACATGGTGCCACACCTGGCACGAGCGTGCGTCTCCTTCCTCGAGACGAGCTTGACGGCACGCAACGCCTGCGTGCTGCTGGCCCAGAGCCGCCTCTTCGAGGAGCGCGAGCTCGCGGACCGCTGCTGGGAGGTGATCGACGCGCAGGTGAGGGCCCGGGCGAGGCGCGGGGCCAGGGGTCACTCTAAACTACGGTGACCCCGGCCGGACCCGACCCGCCGACGTCTGTCCGTCAGGCCCGCCGTCGGAGCCTACGCTCTGACGTTACCACCATGGTTTCCATGGCAACACACACACACACACACACAAACGCGCATCTTTCCCGACCCCCAAGTATTGAGCAGAATGATTACGCGGCCCGCGCTCGTCATTCTATCGGTTGTCCGGCCCGCCGTGGAAAAAAACTTTGGTGACCCCTGGCGTGGGGGAAAGTGCCGGGACTGTTGCACGGCCGGAGCGCAGTCTGGCGCCCGCTCGCTCACTAGCTCTCTCCTTCACTCGCTCTCGCTCTCTCTCTCTCTGATCCGGATACCGTGAAGGTTCGGGTTGGATGACTTGCGCAGACGGGGTTTTCTGAGAGGGCCTGAAGGATGGGAGTCGCAGAAAGTAGGTTGCGGACTTTTATATGTGGAGTTGGAGTGTTATATCTGGTTGCCACCTAGGGTGTGAACCTGTGAACACGTGTGAAGAACGATGTATGACAATAGCGGAGGAGAGAACCTCGTATGCATGCTTTGTTCTGACAAAAAACGTGAAAGCTCTGTCAAAAATAGGATATCCGTGGGAATTCAGGACAGGTGGCAATGTTGGATGTTAGTTGACTATGTGTATGGGCTCATGCAGGCACTCCGGTTTACATCCACATACACACAGACATGAAAAAGAACTGGTCACACATCCTGATTGAGATCGTGATCGAATATTGAGTTTTGACACCTGGACAGATTTTCCAGGGTGACCAAATAACTTGTTGCTATTCAATGTTCGACTTAAAGTCTCTATGACTAGCAATAGATGCAACAGGATATACCGTAGGGAGAAAATCCAATGTGAGATCATCATTGCTTACCGTCATTTTGATTTAGAATTGTGAGGGATTCAAGTGAACAAACCTCCCAACAAGGCACGGCTGAGAACTGAAAGGCCTTTCATTGATTTGTTGTTACATCGGGAAAAGTTAACCACCGTCGTTAATGATGCATGCCTGCTCTATTCACATCAGCCCCGAGTTGAGAACTCTATTTCTCGAAGATCGTTGGAAAGCATTCGACCATCCATGGCTGATACTGGCAGTGGGACATGGTCGTTTATTTTCTATGCACTCACTGCGTGGAGTTTCTTTAAAAAAAAATAACCTCCAAGGGTGATAATGTGCTTAAAACCTTTTCAAAGTAAACATTCGCACGTGTATAATGTTCGCATGCAAAAATCTGTGTCGCCGGTTAACTACTTAACTGCGCAAAACGAAGTTATGCTAAAACACATCGGTCGCAATTAAACATTCAAGTCTTTGTGTCATTGTTCAGCGCTCATATGCAATATCCCATTTTGTGTGCACGATGTTAAAACAAACATGGTACGCGCATGTAAACAAAATTGGCCATCAACAATAGTGCCACCTTGATGAAGCAACGATAAACGCCGAAGAACAAAATGTGGATTGCGTTTTGCGGTGGAGGATGATTTTTTTCGTTACTCTCAAGTGTTGTGGAAAATTATAGCGGGACTCCGCTGGGCAGAGGCAACCAGCAGATAAGCCTGCGTGTGTGCGCATGTTCACCCCCCCCCCCCCCGTGGCTCGCATTAGTCCCGGGTCAGATGCTGCTGTCTGTTTCGTGCTGTGTAGCATTTCTGCTTGAGAATCGGATGCAGTTTTTCTTTGTGTGTCCCGCTAACAAAGACCGACACTTAAAAGGGCACTTGCTTTCAGAAGTTCGAGGGGTTTTTTTTGCGCGCGTTTATTTTTATGTTGCCTGATTTTCTTTTTCCTTTTTCTCGTTGACCTCGTGTTATTTGTGTGGTTTATTACGAACACCGGTTGATCTGAATTGTACACACAGGGGGTGAAGAAAGAGATCACGGATTTGGAGTTGTTTGACATTGTGTGTGATGCCATTTGCGGTGTTCTTTTTTTTTGTTAAACAAGCAAATATGCGTTCATGTGCAAACAAACGTTTTCTATTCTGGTGAATTCATCATTTGTTGTGCCGTGGCAATCGTTTTCTCATGTAAGTTCGTGTAACGGGAATCTGAAAACCAACATTGGGGGCTTTTTGTTACAAAGGCAAGCATGTAATCGAGAAAACACCATCACATGGCGATTCGTATAAAAACGTGATTGCTAATCATCGTATGCTTTTTCTTTAGATGAACCAAGTGGGTTATAATTGTTATAGCATAACATATTTTGCCATGTGCACTCGTACTCAAGTTAAAATGTTGTCATTGCAGCCCACAGTCTTTTTAATTGCACGTTTCCAGGAGGCCATTATCAAACATTTAAAAGTGCATATGACACCGATTTTAATACCACTTTGCACTTACTAATTTAATAGTACTATTGAGTATAATAATTATCCTGAAGCCATATTGAACCTTGTGGCAGTACAAATAATTACATTAAACCCCATTTCTCTTTTTGAATCCTCAGACGAATCCAGTAACCCATCGAGGACAAAGAGTGATGAGTTATCGTGCTTAAAGAAATGCAGCTGGATAATATTGGTCGTGGGAAGCCAATAGGGCATTGGACTGAAATATACTTTAACTTCTATATGCTTTTACCCAGAATGCTCCACGACAGCTCGTAACACGTTTTCACGCAACGTGAAGGAAGCGTCGATCGACATTTTTCCCCCACACCTCCGAATAGCACAGCTGGCTACGTACAGTGCAAAAGAAGTTCAACATACGTCCGCACATACGTATGTACGCACATCGGCAATGCTTGCGCGCTCGTTGACGAGCGAACCCGTTCTGCGGCAGGCCGAGCTGGCGCTGCGCTCGGAGAGCTTCTGCGATGTCGACCTGGAAACGCTGGCGGCGATCCTGTCGCGCGAGACGCTCAACGCGGCCGAGACGGTCGTTTTCGAGGCGGCTCTCGGCTGGGCCGCAGCAGAATGCCGGCGATCGGTGGCGACGCCGACGCCCGGGAACATGCGCTCGGCGCTGGGCAAGGCACTGCACCTGCTGCGCCTGCCCGCCATGCCCCTGAGCGACTTCGCCGACGGGCCCGCGCAGTCGGGCGTGCTGGACGCCCGCGAGACTCTCGACGTGTTCCTGTGGCACACGGCGCGCGGCAAGCCCGAGCTGCCCTTCCCGACGGCGCCCAGGCGGGGGCTGCAGCCGCGCCGCTGCTGCCGTTTCCAGAGCTGCACGTTCCGCAGCAACCAGTGGCGCTGCCACGGCCGCTGCGACGCCGTGCAGTTCTCGGTGGACCGCCGCATCTTCCTGGGCGGCTTCGGCCTCTTCGGCTCGAGCGGCACGCGTACCGAGTACGCGGCGCGCGTCGAGCTGAAGCGCGGCGGCACCGTGGTGGCGCACAGCACGAGCCGCTTCACGGCGGACGGCACGCCGGCCACGTTCCCCGTGTACTTCGAGCACCCCGTGCAGGTGGAGCCGGACGCGTTCTACACGGCCAGCGTGGTGCTCGACGGACCCAGCCTCAGCTACTTCGGGCAGGATGGCCTGACCGAGGTGCAGTGCGAGGGCATCGCCTTTCAGTTCCAGTGCTCGTCCGACAGCACCAATGGGACGGGCGTGCAGGGGGGACAGATCCCCGAGCTAATTTTCTACAGCTGATGAGACTGCGGGCACGCCAGCACGTACAAAGGTTTTATTTGTCTTATTTATTTTTTGGACATTAAAGCTGCTGCTGCTGCTTTAGGGGAGGCCTTGATGTAACAGTGAAATGGAAGTAGCTACCGCCTACTTCTGGGGATGCTACTGCTGTTCTCAGCGGGTAGTGGTGACGGTGATGAAGCTGAGACTGTATTGGGTGCATGGGTCACGAAAAAGAATTAGCTTTCCAATTACCTTGTGATGATGGAAATTGGAACGATAAGAGGACCAGCACACTATTGAGCACTTTCTATAACAAATGCCAAGACATGTTGGCTGATAAGCTTGTTGAGCAGGTAAGTACAGTGGTGCAGAGTAGGAGTGTTTCACTGAAAGCTGTTAATACCTGGTTATGCAATACATTTGCTCCAACTGGAAAAAATTACACGCTTACAAAAGGAGCAAGGGTTAAAGTGTTCCGGCAAGAGTATGATGTGCGCGAATTAATATAGAGCCAGGGGTGTGTGAAGGTCATCTTAGAGACATTGCTTACTCCGCTGCAGGGGGGGAAGGTCTTCATCTTTCGAGGGTCATTTAGCTACTCATTCACTTCAGTCTGACAGATGGTAAGAGGGTGGGCTCCCCACAGTTCACCCTTAGAAACTGGCGTGGGCTCACTGTAGTGAAATGGTTATTTCACCACTGGGTGCATGGATACACCCTTGACCACATCAGCAGGACTGTGCCCGATCTCGTCAGATCTCGGAAGCTCATCAGGATTTTTGAGCCTGGATAATTCTTGGGTTAATGACCGCCATGCACGCCGGGGTTTTCCCAAGTGGATGTGGGGCTACTTAAACTATAACTGAACTATTTTTTATTTTTTATCAGGTACGGCCCACTGAGCTATATAGGTATTTTTCAGAAGCGACCTGGCCACAAATGATAGCTCAACAAAGTGGCTTATGTGGAAATGTATAGCAGACAAATACTCTAAAGACATGTTTCTACGTGTGGAGGGAAAAACCGGAGGACCCGGAGAAAAATCCACGCGGCCACAGGGAGAACATGCAAACTCCAATTATACATGCGTCCGGGTCGGGATCGATCCCACGAACCTCCTGCATACCAGGCGAGGGAGATAACATCTCGCCACCATGGCGTCCCTTGGTGGTCAGCAAAGGGCAGTGTAGCAGAAGCCATTTTTGTACAGTGTTTCTATGCTCCCAGATCTAAACCACACTGACCCACATTGCGAAGTGTGGTCAATACCCACGTGGTGTCGGGAGGCCCTCATCCAGCAGTGGATTGACGTGTGCGTGGGAGATGAGTGTTATCTTTAATAATTTCCTCCAGCTTCAAACGTTATTGACGAGGAAATGAACACTCAATTATGGATCCAATGTGTGCCGTCTCAAATGCCATCGACAATGCACAGTAATTCAGTTGTAAAATGTCACAAAATAACAATAGTTGAGACCTAATTTTACTAAATGTATCCCAATTTAAGCCACGCGTATTATTTTCCGTCGTCTTGGAGAGGCACAGTACAGCACTCTGATGAAACGCTGAGAGGTTTGAAATTGAAAAAAATGGCGACGAGAGTGAAAAAATCTAATAACGCTGCCCGTAAAAGAATCATATAAATCACCTACAGCAGGGTGAATTTTCACCGTAATAACTATGTTCTTTAGTGCTTTTAATTTAACGAGTTGCTTATTAGGATGAAAGTTTACACTGAAATCACTCGCGTCTAACTTACCTGCTGCATACAATACATCAGTCACGTGTATTTATTTTAGAGAAAACTAACATCATATATGGCTGTTGCTATAACTTGCGATCAAATTGTGTTCCTGATTTGTAAGTTGCACATTGCTGTGGTGAGGGAACAACAAGTGATCCTTATGGCAGTACACCAGGGTTACCAAATAATACAAAACGTGCCGAGGCAATTAAACATTTTATTTCTGGGACGCTTTTTTTCCAGGGCTGTTACTTAACTCCGTGACTGGGGGTACCAATCAATCCGAAATCAGTGCCACTCTGCGATCTCGAAACGCAGTGAGGACGATTGTGTCGAAACCCTGAACGCTCGCGGTACGCACCGTAAGTGGTGGTGCATCATCGTGAGTACAGCTCGTCGAGATGAGTCGATCGGCGCATCGCCGACCATCAACAGACTAAAAATGACTGCATCACGGACATTGTGCGGGAGCCGGGGTACTGTGGTATCCCAGGGTACCGCCATAAGGTTCAGGTGTATATTTAGTGCTATCAGAAACAGATTATCATTTAGAAAAATGGCAGCTGTCATATAATACATTATTCTTTTTTATTTCATCCAGCATTTCACAACGTAAGAAAAGATTTCGGGATACATTTTTAAGCATTTCTGTAGCTTTTTTTTGTCCAGCCTTAGATTATATTCAATGTGTAACAACTTTGTTAATATTTATTTTAAGGTTTTGAAAATGTTCACTTTAAAATGTAGTTCACTCAAAAATAAAATAAAAACCCAAAATTTAAATGTCAGATTCTACAAATACTTTCAAGTTAGTAATGCACTTATTTTAAAGGCTTTGTAAAGCACGGCTTACAACATCTAAAAATGTAGGTTATGGTGTGGATCACTTTTATAAAGGTCACGAAGATTTTAACACGGCACTGTAAACAAGACACTGGGGTATCCTTTTAAGCTTTTGAAGACACTTGTTCGACATTCAACTTTGTGCCAATTCTAAGACCGGCTGCTGTTCATTAATCTGCGGAGTGCATTCTCTCGCCTTTAAACACACGTTCAACTCGTATCGAAGCATCTTAAATATTTAAGGGTCAATTAATTTGACGCAGGAGTTGTTGAAGAACAGTTAGTCATATGCCACGGCTTCATAAGTCGAGGCCGTTTATTGCACAGCCGATAATGAACGCGGTGGGATAGCGGTCGCTACCTGCTGGGATTTAAAAACAATCTCCAGTTGACATTTCAGACGCTGTAGTTTATCGCAAACACACGATCAGTCAATATTTAAACAATTATACATTTTTTATGGTTTTGTATACGCAAATTGTGGAATGTAGCTCGAGTGTGTTTAGACTGTTCATTTGTGGCCAGAGATACTTCTGTGGTTATTCTACTGTGTAGGTTTTTGAGGTCGTTGCCATGTCCCCTTGTGTTTCGCTCCACGTGCTGCAATCTTTCTTCAGAAACTGTTCTGAATATTCAGTTCTAAAACCTCAGCAAGTGAATTGTTCAGGAACTGAATTCAATGTTGAATTTCTGAATTGGGTACCTGGTGTAGCTCCGCTAACAGCGTGGAGCAAACGTCCGGACGTCGTGCTGGACAATACAGAATCAGAATATTTATTTATAGTGGAGGAATCTTATGAGCTATAATGCCCTTTTTCACAGATGTCAAGTAGGGGCGGGTAAGAACGTTGCAACAACATACAGCGTGGTATAACTCGAAACACACACGGGAAAGCTTGTTGGTGATTGTTGTGAATTTCATAGGGAAAAGTGTGTGCCGTGTAGTATGTACCACTACACGAATTGGCACTTAAGTGTGGCAAGGGTATTTACCATATACCACTGAAACTTGAACTGGTTTCATTGTAGTTTGTGTTGACAACGTAAAGTTTTGATCGGTGGTCTGTTTTCCATTGGTAATGTAGCATTGTTTTATCGTTGATGAAAAAACAACACGTTGAACAAGAAAAGCAAATTACTGCATGTTAGCACTTAAATAAAATATGGAGGTTATCTGTTGACAGAAATCGTAGAGCTTAATGTATAAAAGTTTGCCAAGATTATATGTAATGGAGTTTTGCACAGGGGTGCATGGGGAGCACCAGATGTGCAGCCAAGTCCGCGTGGATACCAACTTAGCATGACACGCTTTTCACAATAGCCAAGTGCTAGGTCTACTTTACATCTTGTTTTGGTTATGAGTACCTCTGTTAAAAGTCCTAAAACATTACGTCAGATTGCATATCTGTATTATTTTGTTTTGTAAGCTCAATTTTGTTTGAGACTCATTGCCTGAATTCAGTTACAGAATTTAGTTACCGCTACTTACAAAGGTAACGCTCGCATCGATGTTAGATGGCTATTTGCAAAACATAACTTTACACCGTGAGGTCAAACGCAGTTGGAGAAAGAGCCATAAAACGTGTAACGTTCACAAGGTTTAGGCACTCAACCATAAGATGTTTCACATTTAGATGTGTGCACCATTATTTGATCATTTAACAGCACATTTATTCGTTATGCTATTCATACCTGCACGATTTATTTTTTCATGGACATTCATTTTAAAGGGCCGTCAAAGTTCCCTTCGATGCCCGTGTAAGACCATAATGAAATATGGCTGGAAGTCTTGTTTTCCCTGTGAAGTGGAACACGGCTCGGTACATAATTAAAATCGCCATTTATTCTTTACACCATGTAGCAGGGACTTCAAGGCCAGCAGAAGTCCACACATGCCCTCACCCACTGTCACGTCGAATCCAGATTTCATTGTCGTGTAAAAAAAGAGAATACTCTGCTGGACGTGGGCAGTATTTTGCTTACGGAAGAGAACCCCCCAAATTAAACGTCACATTTGTGCAGGATATGATGCCACCACCTAACATGCAGTGACGTTCACTTCCTTAGATTGCCATGTGCTCTCAACAACTGCCACTCTGTCATGATGAGATGAGTCCTTTCAATTGAGAGCATGTTTACAGTAAATGTCAAAGCTCTCCGTGACACTCTTAACTATAGAGGCAATGTCAATATCACCCTGTACAAAGTCGCGATATGTCAATTACATCTCTGGCGCGACTAAATTCTTGATTACCTGGCCAGTTTACAACAATAACGTTGTCGGTGCTGCACACGTCTGTAAAAAAAGAGGTGTGTGTGTATATTAATGAACAAAAGCAGCCCGTAGTAACATGACAAATGGTCGGGTTTAATTACTTAAGTGGCCTGTGTCTCATGCAGAGGCATTACTGGTATTCTGACCTGGATGTGAAACGTATTTACGTTTTCTTCCACTGGCACGCCCCCAACAATTTTTGTATCTCGCAAAAGGATTCAGGATTCGTCGCATTCTGCCTCTCTACATCAGTGGCGTCGCCCACTGAAGCTTTCCTTCTCATTAATATACATCAAAGGAGTTGAAGTGAGCCTCTTGCGTAATCTTGACAAGTCCCATTTTGCACAGTCACAAAGTTCTCGGAGGTACCCAACTTTCAGTGTGTTGTTTGTCCTTTGGCTAACGCTCGTTCCCTAGTGTCTGGTACGTACCTCATAAGCTGTTCGCTTGGAGCTACTTTTTGTATCTGAATAATGATGTGCAGGCAAGTAGGCTATCGCATTAACAACAGATGCTCGTTCATGGTTGTTTCAATAGGTCAATACATGCACTGAGTGCGTATCGTCGTGCTTTTCGGTATTTACATTTGAATCTGTAATACTGTATACAAACGCCCTACGACCGACCGCAACGTCTGGAACACTCCCGATCTCGGAAGCTAAGCAGGTTTGAGTCTGGAGAGTGCTTGGATGGGCGACCACCACGCATTAAACAGGCGTTTTAGGCTCCTGCGGGGCAACAGTGTCACTCAGTGCAGGGGAGTGCAGCAACATGCAGTGTTGTGCAGTACTCTGCTCCAATGTGTATGCTCCCTGCCTTCAAGCCTCATCAACCCACTCTGACCAGCGTGGTGAAGTATAATCTAAATAACCCCCCCCCCGCCACCTGCGTGGCGTGGGGAGGCCCTCATCCAGCAGTGGATTAGCCAAGGGCTGTATATTTACAATTGAAAATTGTAAACTGTTGTGCTTTAAAATAGTTACAGGCGATATATTAAACATTAAAATCAACCATTTGTTGAAAAGCATAACAGTGCTGTAATTGTTTTGTCACCTTCTGAAGCGATGTAATCTGCTAATGAACCTTCATACCATTAATTTGCTCGATTTCAATGCG